AAGAAATCGCCCACCTCGAGCAGCATCATGTTGAGCATCTGTCCATTCTTTCGGTAACGCACCCACCAGCAGGGCTCTAGGAGACTGCGAACGAATCAGTGACCCTCCAGATACTTGACTACCGTTCTTCGCCACGCCATGGGCGCATCGTCTAGTCCATACACATTCACCAGCAATAGTATCAGTGATCCAGAAGGCAAGTTAGTGCCGTCACATGGCTCTACACACATGTATATCTATACATATGTATATGCCCCTGCGTCCGTGACATGGGATCTGATTGACAGAATGAATTCTTCGCGTCATCTATGTCGCCGAGCATGGACAGGTTAAGCATGACCTGCATGAACATCATGATAGATGATGTCTGGGGCGCGGGCGCGTACACTGCTAGTGAGCCAGGATCTGGGCCCCGATGGCCATGGACGCACCACCTGGATTTTGCTGTCGGCTCCGCAAACGTGCCTTCAACTGGCTTCCACCTGCGGACCATCCGACTGGAGATGATACGCTCTGGCTGCTCTCGGCGAATCACAACTGCCTTTTCCGGGGAAATCACCTCAATAGCCCCGGTCTTCAAAATGCTCTCCATTTCCTTACTGTCTGAAGCCCGAAACTTTTCTCGCCTCTCTGGGCTGAGACGCTTCACATTGACCTCCCCCGATCTGCCGGCAGCAAACACTCAACCATCCTCGAGACAGGCGCTAGACCATTCAGCCCCCACTTGGCTCGATGGCCTCGCCCACGCCCCATCCCCTTCTGGCCGCGCCCAGAAATATTCTTGATAACCCTCGACTCTTGGTGGGGACCTGGACCTGGTCCTAATTCTACCCTCGATTTCCTAGATTCTCTCGGTAACGGAGGTCCTGGGTTCCATCCCCGCCGTCATGGGCCCCCGCTCGGCGGGCCCTGGGAGTCCCGGAAGGGGTTCAGCACTAGAGAAGGGGGGGGAGTCGTAGGGTCAGCTGGCGACGCCGTAGCTCCTGGCGGGGTCTCCTCGAGGCGCTGCCGCTTCACCTCGGGAGGGCAACTCCCGGCGCGCTGCATTCGGACGCAGTGTGGAACGTCGGCAGGCTGCTCCAGCCTCCCCCGCCGAGGGCGAGCGGGAGGACCGGGGGGAGAAAGAGCCGAAGGAGAGGGAGGGGGAGGAGACGGAAGAGAAGCGAGGCGAGGGGAGAGGACAGGAGGAGGGGAGAGCGTGGACAGAGGGGCAGATCGGGACGTCCCGGACGATCCCTGTCTCGGGAGGCCCACCTCGGGAGCCAACTCGGGGCGAGGGAAGCTCGGTCGGAGGCTCCGAACGCTCCTCGGACTCGGGAATGGAAGCAAGCCTAGAGGGGGGTTGAGCTATGGTCGATCCAGCTCGAGAGTGGGCTCCTCGACCCAGAATGGGTGGGCCCAAGACGGAGGGGGCGGGTCGAGAGCTCTCCGGGTTCTCCTCCCTGGGCTCGATCCCCACCCCCCGAACGCATGGTCCCGGGCCCACCTGGGGCTGGGAGGGCTCATCCCAGGCCTCATCGGGGGGCGACCCCTCTCGTCGGACGTCCACTGCGGACACCCTGCGGGTACGAGCAGCTTGTAGCAGCTCCTGCCGCTGGGGATCACAAGCCAACTGCAGTCCACATTCCTCCTCCGGGCTCGCCAACCGAACCTGCTCAACGCTACATTTCCAGAGACGGGCTCTGGCCGCAACCCAGACGGCCCCCCCCCACTCAAAACCAACTCCTGGACCGGCCCAACCGCCCCAAGCGTCCGATCGAGAGGACATCCGAGAGAAGTGACGCCAAACGAACACCCACTGGCCGGGAGTAAAGGTCCGGGCTCCTGGGGTCTGGGCCCTGGAGGCCCGGCTAATCTTGTCGCGCGCCGTGACCTCCATGGCTAGTCGCCTGGCCGCCTCCCGCGCGGCCTGGGCCCGAGCGAACACGGCTCCGGCCTCGTCTTGCTCAGAAGCCGGTCGCAAGGAGTCCCGCCAGCCCGGGAGTCCTCCATGGTCGTCAGAGAGAAGGTCGCGAGGAAGGCGCGGGTTCTCACCAAACACCACCTGGAGAGGGGAGAACCCTCCACGATGCCAGAATCTATGTTTGTGGGCGACCATCTCCGTGACGAGGTCTTCGAGCTCCTGAACGTCGGCTGGCAGAAACGATCCAGCTTCGAGTTCGGCCCTCGCGCGTTCCCTGACCCACCCCCCATGACGCTCCGCGCGGCCGTGCTGCCACGGAGAGTCCGCGTCGCAGACGTGGTGACACACACCCCATTGTTCCATCCCTCTCTCTCGCGAATCGTGCTCCGAACTCGGACCCTCCGTCCGAGATGAGAAAGTGGGGGGCCCCCAGCGGTCTGATCCAAGCTCGAAGGCGGACCAGACAGAAGAGGACCGGGCATTTTCCAATCGCACCACCACCTGGAGATTAGAGCCGCGGTCGACCACGTTAAGAAAGGGCCACGTGACACCTTGGAACTCAAGATAAAACAGGTCCACCCCAACTATGTGGTTGAACCGAAAAGGCGCGGGGCAGGGCCACTCGACGATGCACTCCCGCTCGAGACCTCTCCTCGCACTCCGAGCACCTGAAGTGGCGTCGGATCCAGTGGGCCAGGTGCCTCTTGGCGCCTCCGGCCCTCAGGACTCTGACAAACTTGTGGACGTCCGGATGTCCCATGTTCACATGTAACTTGAAGGGCAATTGTTTCATCTTCTGAGGGCTCCGGCTCCTCCAACTTGCCACCTCCCTTGGCCTCCTGAGGCCCTCGAGTTTCCAGCTCGTCGCCGCTGTCCTCATCGGAGCCCTCGGGCTCCCCCACCTCCTCGGCTTCCTCAGGGTAGCCTTCCACCAATTCCGCCCAGGTGGGGGGGGTCTTGTCTGCCGCCCCGCTCCATTGATCGGCGACGGCTCGGCTCACTAGCTGCGCGAAACGAGGAGGGCACCTCCCAGCCTTGGTGGTGATGACCCCTCCCTCGAGCAATGCGTGCTCGTGACTCGCGACCCTCCGTGCACCACTTGCCGTCGAGCCGCCTAAGCACATGGGGGTGATTCGACAGGATTCCAGTAGGCTTCTTGTTAAGCCCTCGGTCGTCGACCTGAAGCCCGAAACGACACATGTCTACGCGCAGCCTTCGCACCCCGGGAAGGGATGCCACGTGCTCGACAACCATGGAACGCCACGAGGTCGCGTAAAGCGGATGTTCGAAAGCAAAGAATCGGCCGTGCTTCACCGGATAGGTTGCGATCTCCATGCGCAGGATCAGATCGCGAAGTCCGTCCGAGACCATGCGACCCCACTCGCCGGGATTCATTCGATCGCGGTTGAGTCGGTTGATTGCGGAAAAAGTTTTGCATTCGGAACACAACCATATAATTTCGGGCTCCTCGGCCTGAATATATGCCCACAGAGCCGTGACGCCCCCCGCCCGAGAGGAATCCCAACCCAAACGTCGATCCCAGCTGGACCGATCTCCCACGGGGGCCCCGGCCCGAGACACCGCGGGAGCAATCCTGGGAGGAGAGAAAACTTCGATAAAGGCGGTGCGAGAGCGGGCCCTCACGGGAAAAGCTCCGAGCCGGAGCTCTTCTGACCCGGAAACCAACCCGGCCTGCAGAGACAGTTCCTCCACAGCTCTCCTGACCTGGGATCCGCACGCAACCTCGTGATCATCATTATACGAGTCCCCATCGAGCCAGTCCAGGCTCCAAGGTTCGCGCAGTCCTCGAGAGGCCCCACTGTGCCTCTCCGACGCACCTAACGTGCCAGAAGAAGCTGCGCCCTCGGTCGGGAGACTCGCGGCGCAGAGCCCTCGAAGGGTCCTCGCGCCTTCGGGACCAGAGAAGTCAAAGAAATCTTCGCTTAAATCTCTGAAGCGTCGCTCAAAACCTCCCAGCTCGGATGAGCCTCGAGCTCCTCTGGGACGGTGTGCAGCTCTACTGGGTCGCCTGGAGCTGTCGCCGATAAACTCGCCTCGGGGCCCGTAGTCGTAGTCGCAGTCGGCCCTTCGCCGTCCTGTCGACTCGACTCGTTGTTGGGCGGCGGTGGCGGAGGGGGCGGCGGCTGCCCGCTTCCCGAGGAGCCTCCGCTCCCAGGCCAGCCCGCGCCCGCCCCCATGACCCCGGCCTGGCCGAACCAATGGTTCATCGGAGACTGAAACGGCGCAGTCTCCGCAGCAACCTGAGCACTCACCGTCTGCGCGATCCCAGCCAGAACCAAGCCCAGCTGTATCATCATCTGGCCGAGTTGGCCCACGGAGTACTCCACGTTCGTCAGCGTCGAGCCGATCGCCTGGATCTGCTCCTGCATCGTGTCGAGCATCTCCCCGAAATCCTCGAAGGCGGTGAGCATCTTGCGGATCTGCATTACCTGTTGAAAGGTTTGCTGCAGCCCCTCGGTGGTCTGGGTGGGCTGCTGATCGGCCATCGCGATGACCTCCACCATCCGATGGATCACCTCGCGGGCCTACCCCAAAGCACGGGCTCCCTCTGGCATGGGCCCCAGCTGCCAGTGCAAGCTCTGAAGAAGAGTGCTCAGGGAGCTCACCGTCGCGAGGGCTGCACCTCTGGCCCTGAAGTTCGGATCGTTCTGAAGGATGTCGACTGCCTTCTGAGCACTGCTGGCCGCGGCACGCGCAGCCTCCGCTGCCGAGGGAGCGGACGGAACACCACCTCCCGCCTGGCCCCGCGGCACCCAGGTCAGGCGCTCCCCGCAGATGTTGCACTGGGAACCTCCGCCGCCCTGGTTCCCGTAGTACTTGATCGCGTGCTGCGGGTGCTGGCAGTCGTTCGGGTGGACGGGTGGCGGCTCGCCGGCTGCCGCCGGCCCGTGCAGCGCGGAGGCCGTGGGAGCGGTCGAAGGAGGAGGCTTCGCCGGAGGCTGGCCCGGGGCCATCGGTGCTGCGGGAGCCGCCCTCGCCGCGGCCGCAGCCGCCCTGGCCGCTGCTCGGAACTCCCCGGCCCTGGCCGCCACGACCTGGGCTGATGGCCCCGCCACGGGTCCCGGGGGCACTGGGATCACCGCCGCTGCCGCTGCCATCGCCGCGGCTGCTGCTGCTGCTCGAGCGCCAGCGGCACGGTCGCCATGGCTGGCCCCAGCTGTTGGACTGGGGGCTGCCAGCCAGGCGGCGGCCCCGGCGGCAGAGGAGGTCGATCGACCATCCGTGGAGCCGACCCCGTGCTGTGCGCCCCTGGGGCCGAACCCTGGCTCCCGGTCGCCCCTGGCGATGTCTCTGGAGGCTGGGGGGCCTCCATCAACGCGTCGACTGTCTCCGTGCTCGTCATGGTGTTGCCGCTGATCTGCCCGGCTGTCAGCGCTACTAGCTGCTGGATCTGCTCGGGCGTCATGCCCTGCACCGCCTGTATCTGCGCTGGTGTGAGCTGCATCGCTGCGGTCGCCCCCGCGATCCTAGTCCGGAGCGGGCGCGCTGAGGCCGCGACTGGAAGACGCCCAAGACCAGCTCGAACACAATGAGGCCCCAGTGGATCCCGTAGAGCCCCAAGCACCCAAGAGTCCTCTTGATCCGAGATCTCGTCGTCCAAGTTCTCCAGAGAGATGACCTTGACCATCCTGAACTTGACTGTGGCCTCGTGGAGTATCCTGGAGCCCTCTGCGCCTTCTTGGATCTCAACGCCCCAAGCCCCATGGAGATGGCCAACAGTAGGAGGACGAGGAGTAGGAGCGCCATGTACCTCGAAACCTTGCCACTCGTGCCCATCTTGAGCGGTGACTCCCCGTGCCTCAACGTGAAAGAGTCGGGCCTGAGAAAAGGATACTCGCGCAAAGCAGACGCCGGGACCTCGCATGGCTCGTTCAGAGGCCTCGCGATTTCAGCCATCCGATGGCCAGACCCGAGCCTGGCCATGACAATCACTTGATCGAGAGTCGCTGACACTAGCTGATTCCGAGGGAGGTCAACCACGCATCCCAAGAAATCTAAAATATTCACACTCAAAAGGTGCGGCACCGAGTCTGCCAAGACCGCAGCGTCGACCACTCCGAACGCTCCGCCGAGACACAGCGGAAAGAAAACTGAGCTGATGACCTTGGCCGCTCTTCCGACACCGTGGGCGTTCTTCAGCACCCGCCGCTCCTCGGGCACGACGACGTACTGCAACCCGTGCTGGGCCAGTGCCTCTGACTCTCGGTTGAGAGCGCCGAGGCCCACGAGGTCGCTGCCAGCCCCCGGATCTACCAGTCCCTGGGTGAACTTGGCCGCCAGGTAGATCGCGTCGGTCGTCAGCTCCTCTTCGGCCTTGCGCCAGGACGGAAGAGACAAGGAGCTGACCCCGACGAAGCCCTCGAACATGTCGGCTGAGAGACCTCGGCGCTCACGAGCGGGACGGCCCGTCTTGCCGTCCCTGGGCGGGTTGGGGCACTCTCGCCCCCAGTGTCCCTTCTGGAAGCACAGCTTGCACTTGGTGACTTTCATCAGCTGCTCCTGGGAAAGCCATGGCCGTCGTCGGCCCCTCCCAGCGCCGCCAGCCCCTCGACCGCCCCCGCCTCGGCCGCCGCCGCGGCCTCGGGCGCCGCTGCGGCCGCTGGAGGGGCCGCGAGGCGGCGGGGGGGCACAACCTCCCCTGCGGCAGCCGAAGTACTCCCTGTCCCGCTTGGCGGCCCGCTTGAGGTCCTCGTCTGCTTCCACGTCCTCGCGTTGGAGAGGCTCGCCATGGCGTCCTCGACCTGGTCCTCCGCCAAGTCCATGTCGTCGATCTCCGCGAGCACGGCCTCGATGTCCAGCTCCTCGTCCTCCTCAGCGTCCTCATCGTAGAAGTCCTCGTCCTCCCCGGAGCCGTAGTCGATCTGACCACCGACGCCACCACCACCGGACCGAGAGGGAAAAGAGGGAGGAGAAAACTGATCACCACTGGCCTCGGGGCGCTCAGCATCCGGACCGTGGTCCTCAGTACCGAGCATGGCTCCCGTTCCTGAGCGGCCCGGCAGTAGACGCTCCCAACCCGAGGCATCCATCTGACGCAGAGCCCAGGCAATATTCTTGAACTCCAGGCTTCCCGAAGTCAAGGTCCTCAAATTCTGAGTGCCCTGGGGCGAGAGGTTGGCGCCCTCCTCGAGGAACAGACCCTTCAGTTTGTCGGACATCCAGAGGTCGTGCCCCTCCGCTTCTGTGAACTGGGCCTCCCGTCGACTCACGTACTGGGTGAGAGTCTCCCTGTTCTCCCGAGTCGCCTCATACAGAGCTCTCCGCCCAGACCTAGAGAGCTCATCGCCTTCGCGTTCTCCGATCATCAAGTCCATTCGCGCGATCGGCGTGTCCAGCCGCGTGACCTTCGTGAGCTCGTAGTCCGTGATATCCTCGAATCTGGCCTGCATGTTCCAATCGAACAACTTGATGAACTTCTCACTCCGGCGCCACACTGGGACGTCCGCGTTGGCGTCCCACCTCCTGAGGGCGCGCTTCCACTGTCGACAGTGGCCCCAGCCGGGCCACGCGGGAGGGTCGGAGTAGTCCCCGCGTGGCGCCCAGCCGGCGCTACTGTTCCAGCCGCCGGAGGCCCAGCCGAAGGACCGCCAGCCGTCGTCGTTGCCGGTCTCCTCCGAGCCTGGGCGCCACCAGCGCTGCTTCTCCCATTCTCCTCCGGCGCCTTGCTTCCGCCAGCCGTCCTCATCTCGTGCTGCTGCCGTCTCCACGGCGTTGGGCTGGTCGGCGTCTGCGCCAGAGGCCTTGCTAAGTCCTGCATCCCAGGGGTCGAACTCTTGACCGTCTCGAGGCTCTGGACGGTCGCCCTGCGCCACGGAGACCCCTCGCATTGTCTCCCGCGCGAGGTCCGGCACCGTGGCCCTCATCGTGCTCTGAGCAATGCTCGCCACCGCCTCCTGTAGCGCCCGTGGGCTCAGAGTAAGCCCCTGTGAACTGGCAGCCGTCGAGCCTCCGTTGTTCCCCGTCGCGGTGGCCCCTGGCTGCATGGTCGCATAGACCTCGCCTGCATCTACTTCGGCAGGCATCTCTCGCCGTGGATCCCACGCCGCTCAGCGCACAGCGCGGAGCCGGCCCGGGGCTCGCGAGCGGGTAGGCCGCAGCCGCTACAGCTGCTCGCTCCCGCCCATGGCCCGGGGCCCGAGGATCCGCTACCAAATGTGGCAGCAGCAGGAGCAAACGAATGTTTTGCCTTGGGCCACAGGTACGGACACAAGCGCACTCTATCAAAGATCCCCTGGATGAAACATCATGCTAAACCTATTCGTGAAACTATAGACCCTTGTCACAGCCCGCACGGCCTGGGGGGTTCACAGCTTGGGCCTTCGACATCAGCGGGTTGGGGATCTCGCAAGGCACGCCGGAGCGCGTTGGCACGCTCAGGCAGAGTAGGGGGTGGATCGGAGCTGTGGCGGACAGCTTGGGCGTGAACCTTTTGGGCTACTGGTGGGGCACAGCCGTGCTGTGTATGATGATGGCCATGTTCACGTTTCTGCTGGGTGCCGCCGCTTACTGCATCAACACGGTCATGATGCCGCTAGCCCTGAGCTATGCTGGGATAGCTTGGTAGCTTGGGCGTTGGGACAGCTTGCAGCGTGTTGCCGCCGATGGCCCGCGGGGCCGGAAGCAGTCCTTCCGCCGCCCCCGCCCACACTTCGGCGAGTGCGGTTCCGTGAGCCTGGGAGTGGGTGGGGATACCGAGACCGCCTGCTGCCGCAAGGGGGTCCGCGGACGGGGCACTGACCAAGCCCCGAACCACCTGCTGCTGCGCAAGCATGGGCAGGTAGCCCGCGCGTCCTCCAATTTCAGTGCAGCGGTGGGCATGGGGGGGCACTGTCGAAGCCCCGCCTCGATCGACATGGCTTGACGATACGTATTGATCAGGTACTGGCTTGCACGAGCCGTACCTGGAGGGCGAACATGGAGGCTATCGGCCAGGTGCATCTCTGTCGGACGGTGGGGTGTATGGCAGCACACCCGATGCACGTTGACCGGTACGCAGCCATTGACCACACGCAGATCGTGGATCTAGGGGAGCATGGGGCAACGACGCCCCGCCGCGCCATGGCCGTGGGGCTGCGCAAAGTGGGCGCACTGGTCTGGTGGCTGCTCTTTGGGCTAGGCTGGCCAATACTCAAATGGATGTGCTGCCACCGCCTGGAGCCTCGCTACATCAACGACACTACCGGAAGCCGGCCGTTGGCCCTGGACTCGGAGAGTGAGAACGAGGCGGAGGAGCGCCCGTGCCGAGCGACGCGGGTTGGCGCGCAGCTGGCGAGCGGGGCCCGCCCGCCACAGCCGGAGGGGTGCTCGGACCGAGGGCTCATGGAACTCGCGGTCTTGCTGGTGGAGGATGCAGCGGTGTCCGACGTGCTCGTGCCGCGGGCCGGGGAGATGGCGCAGATCTGCCTGTGCGCCCATCGCGCACAGAAGTACCGTTCGACGCTACTGGGTCGCAAATGCAGCACGCCGACGTGCCATCGGGGGTGGCCTGTGGGAACTTCCATGGCGCGCCCATGTGCGGGGAGCACCTGTGAAGCGGCAACGGCGTCCCCCTGCGGGTGGAGGCGACGATACGCCTGGGCCTTTCGGCGGTCTGCGGAAGCGTTTACGGGGGCGGGGAACTAGCCCAGGGCCGGCGAAGGACTGGGCATCCCAGCCGCAGGGGCACCCGCCGTAGTTCACGGGGCCGGCGGCGACCGCAGCTGCATCCGCCTTCCAGTACGTACCCCCAGCGACGGTGGCGTCGTCGGCGGCCCCGCGAGGGCTGACCTTTGGGGAAGCCACGCTGGGAGCCGAGATGGAGGCCGGGGGCTACGACGGTCACCCGCGAAGGATGGGGGCTCCTCCCGCATACTGGGCAATGTCACCGCCCACGCCCACGCAGCGACGGCCGAGGTCCGCCGAGCCTGAGAGTGGCGATCGCTCGCGGTCAGCAGGAAGTGGACACGCGGCCGACAGGCTGCTGGCGCAGCAGTGGCTCCAGGAGAACTTCGTGGTAAAGATATGCCCGAGTTTCGGCGATCGGGCCGAGACTGGAGCCCAGCCTTGGTATCTCCTCTTGGGCGTGTGCGAGGGCATCGAGACACGCGGGCCATCCAGCGACGCGTTGGTGATCATCGGGCCGAGCCCGGAGGGTGTGCAGATCGAGGTGCAGGCGTCAGACATCATACGGCACCCCAGCCCAGTCGAAGAGGGACAATACTACGCCAACTGGATCAACCGGTTGCTCTACGAGGTCCCGATGGGCATGAGCGAGCTGGGCGTGCGAGTCGTGGCGCATCACATCCCCCACGAGCTCGTAGACCATATCCGTCTGCATCAGTGGGACAATGAGGTGAATACCGCCGGGAGCCGCTCTCAGCCCCACGCGACGGGGCATACTACAGAGAGATGCGAGGCGCCTGCTGGGTCACCACCACCGCGGTGGGGCTAGGACGCCCACCCACGGGAGCGCGAAGGGAGACTTGCCCCGACCGCCACCGTTGCCACCGCCCACGGGACCGCCCCCGGACCACGAGGAGGACGGAGCGCCAGACCTGGTCGAGATCTTCATGTCAGCCCTGCGTGGCGGCACCGACCCCCTCGCTGCGTCGGGGACGGTGGCCGAGGTTATGGAGGTGACCTTGGACCAGGCGGGGCGTGACCTCTGCAGGGGAGTGGCACGCCGGGCTACCGCTGGGACGGTGGGAGCCGACTCGCCCACCAGCGTGCATACCGCGACTGCCAAGCCCCATCTATTCCGAACATCCGCTACCGCGCACCAACACCGTGGACCAAGAACAGACATCCAATATACACGAATTGCAAGCATCGGCACCATACATAAACGCATACTCTAAGAACAGGCATCAACGAGAAGACACCACATGCACGCAAACACACACACACAAACACACACCAACAAAATACAGCAATTACACACAGCAAACATGTATATCACGCACGCAGAAAGGGAACAGGCAGCCATACCATACATTAACAATGTACACGAATGGCCGAAAGCAAACTCCAAGACTGGAAATCAATGACACACTGCCACACACACACACACTGGGAATGGACATCGATCATAGGCATCAAGACCTAGCATCACGGACCCACATTCAGATCATACAGCAATGACACCCATCGTGCGCACGTAGCAACAACAGACATCAATAACACTCCAACAATATGCATCACTAATGTACACCATGAGCACACATCAACACCATGCACCTACAGCGACTCATGAACAGGCATCAAGCACCTACATCAACCACCGACATCGAAACACATACATCAGCGACGTACATCACCAACGCGCGTCAAACACCGACAGCGTATATCTATGCACCAATAACATACGCCACGAGCAGACATCACGGGCAAGAAGCAGTGATGTGCATAGGTCGGTACTATCCATGCTCATGCTGAAACGACGTAAATCAAGAACATACATCAACAACCGACAGCAATCACATAAACCACGGACAGGAATCAACGGTCCACTATGGACCACAAGCACACACCGATGAACAGACGTTACACGAACATGCATCAACATCAGACGTCACTAGCACGCATCGGCAACACGCAGTGTTCTCGGATACGTGAGGGAACTCAAGAGGGAACCAATACGCATCAGTACCACGCACCAATAACATGCATTAGCAACACATTGCTTGCGCCTACACATGCAATGTGTAAACAGTCGACTCACGCACACGAATCACACATGCAACGGGCGTGTACAAGCACTGCACACGAAACAACACGCGCAATTACTAAGTTTGATAACCTATGCGTTACGACCATGCGCAAGCACGTATGTGCTGTAGGACTGTAGAGTCACACGCGTAGACTTCGAACCTATTTGCAGCAACTCCCGGTCAGGGATCGCCCGAAAGAATCTCACGTGCTTGGGGTATCTGGAAGGCTCCTCGTTGCCACGGCTTGATCCGCCGCGCGATCCTGAAAAGTCTGGAGGGAATTTTCAGGCGGGGGGTTATGGCCAGGGGTGGGATGGGAAGTGGGTCCAAGCCCTCCAGAATGGAGGCTCGACCTCCGCTCTGGAAGCGCTGTATCTCCGTTCCCGAAGCTCCTCCCCCCCCCCTCCCCCCCTCCCCCGCTCCTATCCTGGAGAGTCCTGTAGGTCCTAAGTCCTTTTTGGACTCTCGGTGCTGGGAAACTGCCATGCAAGGGTGCTGGGAAACTGCCATGCAAGGAAACCGGGCCCTGAAGAAAACGGATCCTGGACCCCGGGGCCTGCCCCCAGGACCAGCTGCTCTTCCAGAGCTGCTCTTCCAGAGTAGCCTTCTGGTCGCCCCGGGTCCCCCGGGGAGGGCCCCGAGGGACCGAGCGGGGGAAGAAACCCGGGACCCGCTTGGCTTCGTGACCTGGAGAGGCGCGCAGCTGCACTCGCGCGTGGGGCAAGCAGGGGCCGCCGGGCGGCTCCAGAAGCGGAGGGCCATCGCACAGGAAGCGCGGGCTGCCTTCGTGCCCTCGCGCCGCTTCCTGGAGAAGAAAGCCTCCCTGCCTCAGGCCGGGAAGCGCGGGGCGCGGTTACCTTCGCGCCCCGCTGGGGGCCCGGATCGCCCACCTGCACCACCCAGGGGATCGAGATCCTTGAAAGTGAAGGTCTGACTCCGCCCTGGGAGCCAACGTTTGTCCTCTATTATGGAAGCTTTCTCCCTCTCTCTCTCTCTCTCTCCCTCTCTCTCTCTCTCTCTCTCTTCCTTCTAAAATCGAAGGTCGACGTCCCAAATTGACGTTTTTGATCCTCTGGGTGGGCCGCCCAGGACTGGTGGATACGCCTCCGGACTCAAGCCAGAGAGGCGCACACTTCTTCTTTTTTTTTACAGCCGCAGGCGGAAGCGCCAGCGGCGGGAGGTCGCGGGCGGGCTACGGCCGCGACTAAATTGCCGAGCGCGCGCGGGAGCCGCGGATCAGGCGGCGGAAGAGGGGCAGCGCCCAGGGCGGAGAGGCGCACACGCGAAGCCGATCCGAAACCCTGGACTTGCCTGGCCGAGGCGAGCGCAGGTGGGCAATCCACGCCGAGACCCGTTTCCGAGAAAACACGTGCGGCGCTGTCGTGAAGGCTCCCCGCCCCCCCCCCCCTAAAGGAAAACAGCGACTAGGGCCCTCTCGGCCCACCATGTCGAGCAGGATCGATCCGCGCGAGGGCCCCGAGGCCAGGAGAGCGGAGCGAGGCCGCCGACGCCATCAGGCGACTTTTTACCCCACGAGCGCACGGAGGCCCGGGCACACGTTGGCGAGGACCCCGGTCCTTCTCGCTCTCGCTCGGGGTGGACGCGGCGCAGTGCCTGGTGCTGTCGTAGACCCCGCCGTCGTGCCCCTCCCCGTCGCCCTCGAGGCCGAAGCTGTCCTCCAGAACAACAGGAAGAGAAGGAGGAAACGGAATACTACGAAGAATAATAATAACGATGGTAAGAAGAAAGGGAATAATGCGAATAATAGCATGATGAAGAAGATGATTAAGACAACTACAATAATAATACTAACACGAAGAAAACGACGAATCATACTACTAGTAATACTAAAGTGCCAGAGGTGGGCTAAGATCTGCGGTGCAAGGAATACAATGCTTCCCTCTCTATGCGCATGTCTGTATACATTTACAGAAGTATAGGCATACATGCATACATACATACATACATACATACATACATACATGCATGCATGCATACATACATACATACATGCATGCATGCATACATACATACATACATACATACATACATACATACATACATTACTTACATACATACATACATACATACATACATACACCGGTTCATGCATTTTATAAGACCGGGGGCGCCGGAAAAAGCTCTCTCTCTCACACACACACACGCCCTACCGAATTTGGCCCTCCCTGGGCGTCTGGGCAACCCTTCAGACGACCCAAGAGAACCTCACAAAAACCAGAAGACGGCCCCAGACGGGTTCCAGGGGTTCCGGCGCGCTCCCGAAACGACCCCCAAAAGCCCCAATACGGTCCACGACGACCCCCAAGAAGCCGTCGTACCCCCAAAAATCGCTCCAAAACGTCCCAAGAGGCCTCCGAGAGCACTCCCAACAAGGCCCCAAAGAGGCAACAATCATTAATGCTCAATCGGTTTTTGATGAATTTGAGGGTTATCCTCTTTTCGGCTTCCCGACGCTCCAAGACGGCGGTCTGCTGGCGTCCGAAGCCGCCTGGGAGGCTCCAGAATCGCCCCACAACCGTCCGAAAAGGGCGAAGATGGTGCACTCTGCTGCCCCAGTCCGGTGGGCTCGGCCGGATCCGGCGGTGCTGGCGGATCCGGTGGGTCCGCTGAGTCCGGTGAGTCTGGTGAGTCCGGCGGCTCCGGTGGGCCTGGTGGGTTTGGCGACTCCAGTGGGTCAGGCGGGTCCGGGGATCCGGTGAGTCCGGCGAGTCTGGTGGGTCCGGCGGGTCCCCTGAGTCTGGCGCCTCCTCCGCTGGCGCCAGTGGGTCCGGTGAGTCCGGTGAGTCCGGTGAGTCTGGCGAGTCTGATGAGGCTCAGCGGCACCAGCAGCACTAGCAGCACGAGAACCGGCAACACCAGCAGTAGCAGCAGCACCAGCAGCAGCAGTACCAGCAGAGACAACAGCACCAGCAGCAGCACCAACACCCTTCGCTACCAGAGATCTCCCGATTTACCATTGTTGCCCGCGCTGTTTCACTATGTGCGCCTCTCCCCCCCCTTCTCCCGTCAGCTCTCCTGGGCATCGTTCCTGGATGGGCTGGTGGGAATGCGCGAAACGTCAAGAATTGCCCTCCAGAGGCCTCCGAGAATATTCTAAAGAGGCCCGAAAAAGCATCCCCGAGGACTCTGGCCCACAACCCAAGCACTGTGGCGGGATGGGACAAAGCCCAATGGGATGATCATGAACATCATCAACATCGTTATCATCGGCATATTCGACCACATCATGGGCAGCATCAGTGTCATCAATATCCACACCAACAACACATGTACCATCATCGTAAGCATCAGCATCCCATCAGCATCAACATCCGCATCGCTGAAGCCAAACTTACCATCAACAGCATCATTTTCACCACTATCCGCACCAACAACATGCGCATTGCCATAGTAAGCGCCATCACCCTAACCAGCATCAGCGTCCACAATCAAATTGCCAGAAACATCATTATCGTGACCGTCGCCATCTGAGACATCCGAGTCATCATCGTACTCATCATCAGCATCATCCAAATCAGTATTACAATTATCAACACCATCGTCATCATCACAACCACAATCGCAACAATGATCGTCATCAGCAGTACCCCCGTCGACAGAATCATCGCCACGATCGCATAAACCCTCCTCATCGTCATCAGCAGAAACTTCGGCCTTATCATCATCGTTGTCGCCATCATCATCATCGGCATCACCACTACGAACACACGATCTCCGGGGACATCCAGGGACCTCCGGGGACCTTCGTGCATCTCTGGGGGTCGAGGTCCAGGACGGGAGCAAAACTTACCATCAACAACTAACTTGTCACCACTATCCACACCAACAATATGCGCATTGTCACAATAAGCGCCATCACCCTAATCAGCATCAACGTCCAGAAGCAAATCATCAGGACATAATTATCGTGAACGCCGCCATCTGCAGCATCCAAGTCATCATCGAACTTGTCATCATCACACAAATCATTATGTCAATATCAGCACCACCCTCGTCATAATCAAAATCGTTACAACGATCGCAATCAGCATATCCCCTGTCGAAGGAGTCATCCCCGCGATCGTACAAACCATCCTCATCATCATAAGCACACGCTTCAGCCTCATCATAGCATCACGGTCGTCGTCGTAATCATCATCGTCATGGGGCATCACCACAACGAACACAATCAGCATCATCATTACAATCGTCGTCGCTATGATCATCATATCCCTCATCATTAATTATCATATACCCCTTTCCCTCCCTTCCTCACCAACACCATTCATGCTGTCGTCCTCCTCATCGCTTTTCAACAACGAGCGCATTGCCATAATAAGGGCCATCACCCTGATCAGAATCAACGTTCAGAAGCAAAGCGCCCGAAACATCATTATCGTTAACGCCGCCATCTGCAGCATCCAAGTCATCGTCGTACTCATCATCATCATCATCATGATCCAAATCGGGCATCTCAACATCAGCACCACCATCATCATCACAACCAAACTCGTTACTATGAACGCCATCATCATGTTCCCCGTCGACGGAATCATCACCACGATCGTACAAACCATCCTCATCATCATAAACGCACTCTTCAGCCTCATCATCATCATCATCATCATCATCATCATCGTCGTCGTCGTCGTCGTCGTCATCATCAGTGTCATGGGCATCACCACCACGAACACAATCAGCATCATCATTACCATCGTCGTCGTTATGATCATCATTTCCCTCATCATTACCATGGTCCTTGTAACATGCTATCCTCTACCTGCTTCTCTCTCTCCCTCCTCACCAGAACCGTTCATGTTGCTGTCATCCTCCCTGCTAATTCAACGACGGGCGCATGCCATAATAAGCGTCATCACCCTGATCAGCATCAACGTTCAGAAGGAAAAACCAGAACATCATGATCGTGAACGCCGCCATTTGTAGCATTCAAGGCATTATCGTACTCATCATCATCACCCAAATCCTTATCTCAATACCCGCACCATTACCAATACAATCAAATTCGTCGGATGATCCGGGAATCCGGTGAGTCCGGGAGTCCGGCGGGTCCTGCGAGTGCTGCGAGTCCGGTGGGTCCTGCGAGTCCGGTGAGTCCAGCGAGTCCAAAGGGTCCGGTGTGTCCAGTGTGTCCGGTGTGTCCGGTGTGTCCGGTGTGTCTGGTGTGTCTGGTGTGTCCGGTGTGTCCGGTGTGTCCGGTGTGTCCGGTGTGTCCGGTGTGTCCGGTGTGTCCGGTGGCCGGCGTGTCCTGCGAGTCCGGCGAGTCCAGCGCGGTGGCTGGGGCAGCAGGGAGGGCCATTCTGAAAAGGGCCTCCAGGCAATCCAAGAGAACCCCAAAACGACACAACAGGGGCCCAAGATGGCCCCGAAAGAGCTCCATGCATGGCGGCCCAAGATGGCCCCAAGACGCCCTCCGAAGCATTCCAAATCGTGACCCGGTCGTTCAGGGAAACCGCGGTCGGAGGCAGGGCGGCCCGAGGAAGCCCCCAGAGGCCCCCAGAACACGCCCAGGAGGCCTCCAGACGGCCTAAGAAAGCCAGAAAACTTTTGCGAGGCCCCCATAGGCTCTCCAAGAAGGAGCCTCCGCAAAAAGAGCTGACGAGGATGGGGGGACTGCGCGAGGCATGGCGAAAACCAGGAAAAATTAACATGGAGGAAGGAAAGCGAATAATGCAGAGATGACGGCCCGATGTTTCTCGAACCCCGATGAGCTGCGGAGGGGGGCCCCCTCTCCAAGGGTCTCGGGCCTCCTCGGCCCTCGCGCGCGTCGGGCCCTCCAGGGTCCCATGCATCACGGGCCCTGCGCGGGATGCCGTGCACTCGCTGACCCTGCGCGCCCCCGCGGCGCCTCGGCGCAGGCGTACTCGCCGAACTCGGCGACGTGGATCTCCTCGCCAGTCGCCTCAAGCTCAGCCATGGCTCGCAGCTGGCAACGCCGCGAACTTCGGGTTCTCGTTCATCCACTTGTACGTGCACGGCGCTTGCGACATCTTCTCAGCTGTCGTCGGGCCTCCGTCCGTCTTCTTCCTCTTGATCTCGTCGGCGGTCTGCGCCTGGCTACCTTTTCCTTTAACCTTCACCATCTCGCTCATCTCTTTGCTCTTCTTAGCGTTGGTCCACGCGCCTTTGCAACGCCATCCGCGCGCCAGGCCAGTCATGAATGCCGTCAGCGCGCGCGGCACCACGATCGCCAAGGCGTTCTCGTCGAATCCGTCGCGAATCACCGATCCCACCAGGCTGGTGGTCTGCTTCTTCTCGTGCACGTCCAGCTCGCAGGTGCTCGCCGGACCCGCAATCGCTCCATGTGCCAGCAAGGTGGCCAGCGGGCCCTGCCTTGCCCAGCTCGCACTCGTTGTCACCGAGCACGCTTCCAGCTCCCTGTGCTTGCCCATATCCGCAAAGTCCACAATGCCCGCCAGGTCTCGCAAGTACGCGAACCTCGCCGCGGGGTGCGCTTTGGCACCCAGGTCCGCTACGTTTTTCTCGCCGCTCTCCTTCCTCCCGTTCAGGCCATCATGTTTCCGCTCCTGCTGAATCCACAACGCTCGAACGTCGAGATGCCTCGCCTTGCCAACGCCCTCGCGGTTGATCATGGCCTTCGCGGCGCTGCTGTCTATCGACAGTTCCCAGGTCACCTCGTAGCCCAGCCACTCCAGTA